AGGGCAGGTAGGTAACTTTGAAATTTCACCAGTTTTGCCAGAAAATTTATCAGCCCTGCATTAAAGTTTATTTTTAAATATTTCCAAGTTAGCACATTAAGTCACTTTATTTGGCAGTAGGCAGAGATAATATCATTATTAATGATCTGAATGTCAATAATTTCTTGGTTATCACTTTCATCTAGATCGAAAAAGTCCAATTTATATTCACAGTAAGAATCTAAAATATATTATAAAATTTTAATTGAAACGACCATGAAAAGAATGTTACCCAGACCCTTAGCCTGGTTACCACCATTCTATCATTTCCTTGGTCCTTTGGCTTTGGCCTCTGTCTGGAAACGTTGCTTCAATTTTGCTTTAACAGTCAGTGGATTACAACTGAATATGCTAATCTGAATATTTATTTTTGAAAATATCTTTCAATACTTAATGTGTGCTTTGTTTATTAAATGCACTCGAGAAAGTGTCAGTTGTGATTTGATATAATTTGGCAAATCAAAAGCACTACGAAAATTAGATAGAACAGAAAAGGATGTCATACCGTCATACATTGTTGGACTAGATAGGTGTGAATTGTACTATCTCTGCACATTTTTTCTCAACAGATAGTTATTACAGAGAGGAAAGACCCTTAGACATGAACATTTTTACTAGCCAGACTTTTAAAGTTACCAACCTTGCACAGGTGAACGAGTGAGCTGTTATTTCAAACTCTGATTTGGTTGGAAGAAAAAAACTTAAGAATATGATTTTGAAATTTTTTATTCTTTTTTAATTTGTAGCAACCACAGATTATCCTCCTAAAGGAGGGGACCGAGGCATCTCAAGGAAAGTCTCAAATTGTGAGCAATATCAGTGCCTGCCAACTTATTGCAGATGCTGTAAGAACGACGCTCGGTCCACGTGGAATGGACAAACTGATTGTAGATAATAATGGTAAGGTTAAATGTACATTTTAGTGTAACTTCTTCAATACTAGACTCAAAGCCTATAATAGAAAAGAATAGAATAGAATATTGCTTTATTACAACCTTAAAGTGCCTGTGAAATGGCTGCTATTTTTACGCCTAAAATTATCCATTGATACATAAATATTATTAATTTTTATGTTTCTAAGCATGAATTATTTTTTTTAAGTGAAAAAATGTGTTTTAAACTCAGTCTACGGCAACTTTATTTTTGTGTATTTTAAAACGAGGCTCCTCATTAGCTTCTCATTTGCATACAAAAATTCCCCTTGTGACGTCAGAAGGGGAAGTCGCATGGCAGCTCGCATTGCCGTTACATGTAAATAAAGCAAATTTCTTGTACAGTTTTCTCGTCTTTGACTAAAGTCACTTATGTACTTGTTCTTTGAGGAAGAATGGACCATAATGATTACATAGTATCAATTTTTGTTGCATGGGGTTGAGTTAGATGCGAAATATGTCCGTTCTGGTGTAGCTGGTCACAGACACCGGCGCACGTTTGTACACTGTCGCTGGACTAAATAGAATTTGACGTCGGAATTATCTCGTTATTTAGCAGGTTAATTGGCACGTCACTACACTGTTTTATTTCATCGATCATCTGAGTAAAACTTTCAAAATTAAAATAAGAGAAAAAAATATTTTGACATTCTAAACATTAAACTATAGTGATCACTATAAAATAATTAAAAAGAACGACGAATCACAGTTACTAAAAAAATGACAGCCGCGTGGAAATATATTGACATTTTGTTGAAATAGGTGAACGCGTCGGGTCACGGCGAGGGCAAGTGCGTTAAAAAGCGGCGTTTAATTGGATAACAAAAATAATCGAGATCTACACACATCCATGGCGTGATTGTCATAATTATAACATCATATTAAAACTTGATTTGGTGGAAACACATTGACCAAGCCCGGATTCTTATTTAATAAATTATTACGCAGATCAAGCTGCAAGCATGGAGGTAAAAAAAGAACAGAGGTGTGAATTCGACATTCAACACCAATCACCAACCAATTCAGAAACGTTTAGCCTTCGAAAATGAAAACAATTAGCAGTGTGTAAGGGCTGTGTAATTTCCTGTTATTGCTACCTTTTACCACAGTCCCTCTATGATTGTGCTTTTACTTTTACTTAACAGGGACTAAATGGTCTCTATAAAACGATAATCAGGATCGCAAAAAAAGTCAACTCATTTGAAACACTTGCCGGACGTCCCTCATTCTTCTGAAATCTGCCTCGGTGATCATGGGCTGGTGCGGAATCTATTTCTTTCAAAATTGTTGCGCCAGGTTTACGTTGTCGGCGTTTTTCTTTAAACCTAGTTGTTTTTTTCATGGACGAGGACAGTTTTTCCACACAAAAAAAAGAATCTGAGGTTAAGTGGCTTTTGTCCACTGATGTCGCACCTGCGGATCGATTAGAAACGTGTGAATACATACACTATGACTATAAGTTTCACTTCAACTGCCCACAACACAACACCTAAAAACTCTCAAAAAAAAAAAAAATAGACCGAAAAATGTATATATAAGTATACTGGTATGACTTCCTCTCACATTTTGTCATTTGGTGGCGCACTTTCGGCGACAGTCGGAAATCCGGAAACAGTCGCAGTGTC